CCAGCGGGCGCAGTTGGGCCCCGCGGGCTCGGAGCCCGAGTCTGAGCAAGGGTTGGCCCGGTACCCGCCAGGTGCGCTGCGCGGGACGGCAACGAGGCGGGGCGGCCCGCGGAGCGCTGGTCCGGCTGGAGGGCGAGTCACGTGAGCTGGGGATGTCCGACCCAGGATCTGGAATCCAGGGCAAACGGGAGGTATTGAGGTGAGCTCCGGCCCAGCGGCTCTCTCACCATGGATGCCACGCCCTGTGCTGGCAGGGGTGGGGAGCAGGGCCCAGGAGGCCCAACTGATGGGGCGCTGCCTCTCCAGCGCCTCCCGGGTATGGGGAGCTCGGCTCTGCGTCGCCACCGTGTGGCCGCAGGAAGCAGGGCCTGCCTAGCACCCGGGGACTCCTCAGGGCTGGGGAAACGGACCTTGGCGACCAAGGGGCGGGCCGCCGTCGGGGAGACCGGCTTTCGAGATCCCGCCCCTCCCGAACCGGGTTCTGGAAATGGGGTTGAGGTCGCCCTGACAGTCCTTCTTTCGGCCACTGTGAATCCTGCTCAGGACTGCGTGGGACGTGGGTGTGGACACCCCGCATCCGCCCCCATCATGCTCACCTAGTAGCTTGTGTGGATGAGAACGATCCTTCCCAAAGGCAGCAATAGCCCCCAGTAACCAACCAGCTTTTCCGAAGCTCCTGCTATGTGAAGGACACACAAAAATGAATAATTAAAGTAAGTAGAGAAAGTCTTTTCAAATTCGTGGCTCCCTATTCTCATGAAAATAACAGGTAACATTTAAGGAGGGCTTACTGTATGCTGTGCATTTACGGAGTACTTTTATATGCATGACAACACTGACTTCTCACCACAGCCGTCTAAGGGTAGGCTATTTAACAGATGGGGAATTTGAAGTTCAGAGAGGTCAAATAACTTGTCCAAAGTCACACAGCTAGCTAACGATTGGATTTCTGAGCCTTGGCTTTTTAATTATTATTATTATTTTTAAAATGAACAGTTTTAGTTCACAGAAAATTGAGCGAAAGGTGCAGAGCGTCTGTATAAGCACCCCACATACATGCACACCCACTGTCAACATTCCACACCACAGTGGTGCGTTTGTTAAAATTAATGAACCCACACTGACGCATTATTATCACCCAAAGTCCAAACTTTACTTTTTTTTTTTTTTTTAAAGATTTTATTTGTTTATTTGCTAGAGAGAGAGGGAGTGACAGTACAAGCAGGGGGAGCAGCAGGCAGAGGGAGAAGCAGGCTCCCCACTGACCAAGGAGCCCGATGTGGGACTTGATCCCAGGACCCTGGGATCATGACCTGAGCTGAAGGCAGACGCTTAACCGACTGAGCCACCCAGGCGTCCCCCAAACTTTACTTTTGATAAACCTTGGCTTTTAACCACTGTGCCAATCTCCTGCCCTAATTGAAGACCACTTTGCTGAGGGGGGATTCAACTGGGACTTTGAATTATCTGTAAGAATTTCCAAAGCAGGGGTAGGAAGGGCATTCCAGGCAGGAGAGCTATGTATATAAAGATGTGGAGGGATTCTCATGGTACTTGGTGAGTTTGGCTTGAGCAGGAGGTCCCAAATTTTATTTTATTTTATTTTTAAAGATTTATTTATTTGAGAGAGAGAGAATGCCGGCAAGGGCGAGCAGGGGGAGGGGCAGAGGGAGAGGGAGAACCCTCAAGCCAACTCCCCACCAGTGGGAGCCAGAGAATGGAACTGGAGCCAGGTCTCCATCTCTGGATCCTGAGATCATGACCTGACCTGAAATCAAGAGTAGGCAGCTTAACGGACTGAGCCACCCAGGTGCCCCACAAGGTCCCAAATTTTAGTCAATGGAGTATCAACCTCATGAAGTTAGTCCTAAGCAATAATGGCCATGGAGTCATGGGTTTAATATGCACGTTTTATTTTTTTTTTTGAATGCCAACTGAAATAAATACGTAACTTTAAACAAAACTTATTTATTTTTTAAGTAATCTCTACACCCAACATGGGGCTCAAACTCAACCCTAAGAGTCCCATGCTCTGTGGACTGAGCCAGCCAGGTGCCCCTAAAATTGTAACTATTTAAAACATATTTGACCATGGGGAGGCTGATGGTTCCTGCAAGTGTGGAGGGCGAAGTGACCTCCTCAGGAGTGAGGGGCTGCCACGACCATGGGACACGAGTCTGGGAATCTGACACGGATGTGGCATGCGATCACCTACAGCTTGTCGCCCTCTGAGCGACACATCTTCTGGCGCTGCTTCAGCCAGGGCATCCCCAACATGCTGCTCCGCTCGCGGACGTGCATTCTTCACATTGTGCCATTTGTAGTGTTTTATCCGGTCTACACTTGGGGGACCCAGGAGTTTGAGAAATCCAACAGGAAGAATTCAGCTGCCCATGAAAATGATAAATGAGCCACTCATCTGGATAATGGTTTCCTGCATAGGAAGGACCCTTCTCTGGGAGAAAAGTCTACATTATAGTATTTTTTAAAAGCTTTTATTTATTTATTTGAAAGAGAGAGCAGAGAGAGAGAGCACACAGGTGGGAGGAAGGGCAGAGGCAGAAGGAGAAGAAGGCAGGGAGCCCGATGTGGGGCTCCATCCCAGGACTCTGGGATCATGACCTGAGCTGATGGCAGATGCTTAACTGACTGAGCCACCCAGGCGCCCCTGCATTATAGTATCTTGAAGGCGTAATAAACTTCTTATGGACTGAAAAAAAATTGTGCTCACACATCATTAAAATTATCCCTAGGACCCCCAGTGCTAGTCATACCCCATTCTGTAAAACGACCATAGGAAATTACTGGAGAAGCCCTGGGGAGGTAGGATGAGGTCACTTTTTGTTGAGCAAGGGTCCACATGTCCCAAGTAAGGGGCTTGCAGCTTTTCGTAATTCTTTCTGAGTCTCAGACCTACCAGCATATCTGATCTTATCTTTCTTGGCTGGCTCCTCATTCTCTTCTGCATAAAGAGTAAATGCCTGGAAGGACCTTTGTGGCTCAGTCACTTGAGCATCCGAATCTTGATTTCTACTCAGGTCGTGATCTCAGAGTCATGAGATTGAGCCCCATGCCAGGCTCCATTCTCAGCGGGAGTCTGCTGGAGATTCTCTCTCCCTCTCCCTCTGCTGCCCCTCCCCCCCCCTCGCCGTGCTTGCTCTCTCTCTCTCTCTCTCAAAGAAAGAAATATATATATATTTTTAAAGTGAATGCCTTAATATGGTCTACAAGGTCCTTTGGGATCCTGGGATAGTCCCACAATGGCCCCATTAGGCTGATGAAGAGAGGGAAACAGGAGATAGGGAGATTCTTTTTTTTTTTTTTAAAGCAATGTATTTTTTTTTTTAAAGATGTTATTTATTTATTTGA